TGAGGTTGACAAGATTAAATAGTGTCTTAATGCAATCTCTTTTGAGATATAAAAGAGAGAAGCAAGCAGAGACACATAGGAACCTCATACCACCAAGAAAGCAGTGCCGGGAGCAGAGCGCGTCCTTTGGACCTGAGGTTCCTGCGCAGAGAAGCTCCCAGACCAAAGGAAGACTGATGACATGGAACTTCCTCCAGAGCAGATGGAGAAAGCGTTCCCCTGATGCTGATGCCCTGAATTTGGACTTGTAGCCTACTGGACTGTGAGAGAATAAACTTCTTTTTGCTAAATCCATCCACTTGTAGTATTTCTGTTAGAGCAGCACTAGATGACTAAGACAACATCCTTCACCCTCCTCAGAAGGACAGCTTGGACTTAGGGGACATAGGGCCTCCTAGATTACCAGGTGATGTCAATGGTAACTGGAAACAACGCTGATCCAAGTTTTCCCTTGGCCTTGGCGATGCCTCAGCACAGAATTTCAATATTTTTCATTTAAAGTATCTGTGCATCATTCCAACTGCAGAGTTTAAATTCTTTCTGAGTTATGATCCCCCCACCAGTTTACCACCAGTTTAACAATATCACCAGCCAAAGCGTGGCTGAAACATTCTCCCCACCCCTACTCACCCCACCCCTCTCCCTGTCAGCAGTGTTAGTGCTTCCTCCTTCTATGTAGAATCTTGGAGCAGAAGTGACCATGCGAATACAGAACAGGAGGAGCAGTTCCTGAGTCAGTACTAGGCCAAATATAACAAGCACATGGGAGTGTGAATATCCAAAGCACCTCACCAAATCAAATGTTGGAGATTCACGTGTGAATTGTCATCGTGGACAAAAGGGTGATTGTGGTTTCACACATCAGCGGATAAGAAAAAGCCTGCCTTTTTAGAAAGAAAAGTGTAACTGTGGCTCTACGTATCCATGTCCTTAAACTTGTACATTTAGCCCACTGGACTTGTTACAAATTGTCAATGATTTAATAGTAGTAAGTGATATGTTTGAGCGCTAAAGCCCTTTGTGTCCATGCATCATTATCTCATTTAATCCTCACAGCAACCCTTAGAGTTGACATTATTATTATCCCATTTGACAGATGAGGAAACTGAGGCTTAGAAATATTAATTAACTTGCCCAAAGTCACACAGCTATGAAGTGCCAGAGCTATAATATGAACTCAGGTCTGTTTGGTTCGAAGGCCTTTATGTTTAATCTTGCTCTGCCTCTCAGACTCTTCTCATTTATAAAATGGTGATATACTACCTGCCCTACTGACTTCACAATGTTGTTTCAAGGATCAAATGAGATCGAAACCACAAAGTGCTTTGTAAAGAGTCAACAAAGCATTGTATAAATGTGTAGGCATTTTGTAACTGTAAGGCTTTATCATCACTTGGATTTAATACAGCTACAGGGACTCTATAGGACTCTGCCAGCCACATAACCTGGCCAACTGGTCCTAAGACCAATTTCTGAGAAGTGTGTCCATGATCATAGTTACATGATGCTATTTGTAGGTGCAATGCTCCCCCCGCATAGATTTGTAAGGAGAAAAAAAAATGAGACTCACCTGCATTGACGTTATCGACTGTGACCGTCTCCTGCAGGTCTTGGAAGAACTATAGATTTGGTGTGGTACTGAGAGACCGTCTCAGGGCAATCCCGACTCTTCTATCTCAGGTCTTTGTTGTAGGTGGGTGAGTGATGGCTGTCTCTCTCACATCCTCTCCTGAGAGAGAAACATATCACCTCAGTATTAGGATCAGAGAATGTTACTAGACTATTGGCATTGAGAGAGAATTTAGCTATCCTCTCACTGGATGGTGACCTTCTCTTTCCATTTCTTATTTGCTGAATATAGCCTTACTGTTTTTGTTAAAAATAAACATACTCTGTCCTGTGTGGGCAAAAGAAAAGGAAAACCATGCATGTAGTGTGCTGTATCAGATACTGTCCAGGAAATTGTGGTACAAAACGCTATCAGGCATCCCTGTGTGTGAGGCTCCACCCTTTCCGTGACGTTCTCCTCCCATGTGAAGCCCCACCCACTGTGTGTGAAGCCCCTCCCTGTGTGTTAGGCCCCTCCCTTTCCATGACGCACTCTCTCCCTACGTGAAGCCCCACCCCTTGTGTGTATGAGACCCCTCCCTGTGCATGACGTGTGGCCCTGTGCGGATGCCCCTCCCAGTGGGTGAAGCCCCTCCCTTTCCATGACGTTCTCCCCATACGTGAAGCCCCACCCACTGCGTGTGAAGCCCCTCCCCGTGTGTGAGGCCCCTCCCTTTCCGTGATGCTCTCTCCCTACGTGAAGCCCCACCCCCTGTGTGTATGAGGCCCCTCCCTGTGATGACGTGTGTCCCTGTGCTGGTGGCCCTCCCAGTGTGTGTAGCCCCTCCCTTTTCGTGACGTTTCTCCCCGTGGGGGATGCCCCTCCTAGTATGTGAGGCCCCTCCCTGTGCATGTCACATCTCTCTTTGTGAGGCACTTCCCTGTGTGTGAGGCCCTTCCCTTTCTCTGAGGTGTCTCCCTGTTCCTGATGGCCTGCCCTGTATGGAATTGGATTCCCTGTGTGTGATATGCTTCCTGGTCCTTTACAGGCGTTGTTGTTAGGTGGCCCTTGGTCGGTTGGACTCATAGCAACCCTGCATACAACAGAATGAAACACTGCCCAGTCCTGTGCCATCCTTACAATCGCTCTATGTTTCAGCCCATTATTGCAGTCACTGTGTCAGTCTATCTCGTTAAGCCTCTTCCTCTTTTTTAATGACCCTCTACTTTACCAAGCATGATTTCCTTCTGTAGGGACTGGTCCCTCCTAATAACATGTCCAAAGTAAGCGAGAAGTCTCGCTATCCTCTCTTCTAAGGAGCATTCTGGTTGTACATCTGCCAAGACAGATTTATTTGTTCTTTTGGCAGTCCATGGTTGTCATGGATTGAATTATGTCCCCCCCCCGAAAAAAATGTGTGTATCAATTTGGCTGGCACATGATTCCTGGTATTGTGTGATTTTCCTATATATTGTAAATCCTGCCTCTATGATGTTAATGAGGGAGGATGGGTGGCAGTTGTGTTAGTAAGGCAGGATTCAATCTACAAGATTGGATTGTGTCCTGAGGCGATTCTTGAGATATAAAAGAGAGAAGCAAGCAGAGAGACAGGGGGACCTCATACCACCAAGAAAGCAGTGCCAGGATCAGAGCGTGTCCTTTGGACCCGGGGTCCCTGCGCGGAGAAGCCCCTAGCCTGGGGGAACATTGACGAGAAGGCTGGCAGAGAGAGAAAGCCTTTCACTGGAGCTGACGCCCTGAATTTGGACTTTTAACCTACTTTACTGTGAAGAAATAAATTTCTCTTTGTTAAAGCCATCCACTTGTGGTATTTCTGTCGTAGCAGCACTAGATGACTAAGACAATGGCATATTCAATATTCTTCACCAACACCACAATTCAAAGGTGTAAATTCTTCTTCGGTCTTCCGTATTCATTGTCCAGCTTTTGCATCATATGAGGCGATTGAAAACATCATGGCTTAGGTAAGGCGCACCTTAGTCTTCAAGGTGACGTCTCTGCTTTTCAACACTTTAAAGCGGTCTTTTGCAGCAGAGTTGCCTAATGCAATTCATAATTTGATTTCTTGACTGCTGCTTCCAAGGGGGTTGATTGTGGATCCATGTGAAATCAAATCCTTGACAACTTCAATACTTTCTCTGTTTATCATGACGTTGCTTATTGGTGGGTCCAGTTGTGAGGATTTTTGTTTTCTTTATATTGTAGTCTTTAATCTTCATCATTAAGTGCTTCAAGTCTTCTTCAATTTCAGCAAGCAAAGTTGTGTCATCTGCATCGCAGGTTGTTAATGAGTCTTCCTCCAGTCCTGATGCCCCATTCTTCTTCATACAGTCCAGCTTCTCAGATTATTTGCTCAGGATATAGATTGAATAAGTATGGTGAAAGGATACAACTCTGATGCACACTTTTCCTGATTTTAAACCACTCAGTATCCCCTTGTTCTGTTCCAAAAACTGCCTCATGGTCCATGTCATGGTTTGAATTATGTCCCCCCAAAAATGTGTGTATCAGTTTGGCTGGGCCATGATTCCCAGAATTGTGTGGTTGGCCTCCATTTTGTGATTGTAATTTTATGTTAAAGAGGATTAGGGTGGGATTGTAACACCACCTTTACCCAGGTCACATCCAATGTAAAGGGAGTTTCCCTGGGGTGTGGCCTGCACCACCTTTTATCTCTCAAGAGATAAAAGGAAAGGGAAGCAAGCAGAGAGTTGGGGGAGCTCGTACATCAAGAAAGCAGTTCCAGGAGCAGAGCGCGTCCTTTGGACTGGGGTCCCTCGCAGAGAAGCTCCTAGTCTGGGGGAACACCGAAGAGAAGAAGGCCGACGGAGAGAAAAAGTCTTCCCCTGAAGCTGACACCCTGAATTTGGACTTTTAGCCTACTTTACTGTGAAGAAATAAATTTCTCTTTGTTAAAGCCATCCACTTGTGGTACTTCTATTAGAGCAGAACTAGATGACTAAGACAGTCCATACACAGGTTCTGCACGAGTGCAATGAAATGTTCTTGAATTTCCATTCTTCACAATGTTGTCTATAATTTGTTATGATCTACTCAGTCAAATGCTTTTGCGTAGTCAATAAAACCCAGGCAAACATCTTTCTGGTATTCTCTGTTCTCAGTCAAGATCCATTTGACATCAGCAATGATATCCCTTGTTCCAAGTCCTCTTCTGAATCCGGCTTGAATTTCTGGCAGTTCCCTGTTAATGTACGGCTGCAATCTCTTTTGAATTATTCAGCAAAATTTTACTTGAGTGTGATATTAATGATATTGTTCAATAATTTCCTCATTCTTTTGGATCACCTTTCTTTGGAATGGGCACAAATATGGATCTCTTCCAGTCAGTTGCCCAGGTAGCTGTCTTCCAAATTTCTTGGCATAGATGAGTGAGCACGTCCAGCATTGCATCCGTTTGTTGAAACATAGCAACTGGTATTCTGCCAGTTCCTGGAGCCTTGTTTTTCGCCAGTGCCTTCAGTGCAGCTTGGACTTCTTCCTTCAATACCGTCGGTTCTTGATCATATGCTACCTCCTGAAATGGTTGAATGTCAACCAGTTCTTTTTGGTACAATGACTCTGTGTATTCCTTCCATCTTCTTTTGATGCTTCCTGTGTTGTTCAATATTTTGCCCACAGAATCCTTCAATATTGCAACTTGAGGCTTGAATTTTTTCTTTAGTTCTTTCAGCTTGGGAAAAGCTGAGCGTGTTCTTCACTTTTGGTTTCCTAACTCCAGGTCTTGGCACATTTCATTAGAATACTTTACTTTGTCTTCCTGAGCCACCCTTTGAAATCTTCTGTTCAACTCTTTCACTTCATCATTTCTTCCTTTCGCTTTAGCTGCTCAACGTTCAACAGCAAGTTTCAGGATCTCTTCTGACACCCATTTTGGTCTTTTCTTTCTTTCCTGTCTTTTCAATGACCTTTTTTCCAACTACCAATCCTTCTTTGTTTCCAATCACCAGTAATTATCAATGCATCTTGATTGCATGTTTGAGCAATTTCAGACTGTAGAAGTTGGTAAAAATCTTCAACTTCTTCATCTTTTGCCTTAGTGGTTGGTGTGTAAATTTGAATAATAGTTGTATTAACTGGTCTTTCTTGTAGGCATATGGATATTCAGGGATGGATTACCCAATAAGCAAGGTACAGACGAGCTTAATTATGTTTACTTACTAATCCGTAGTGCACATTTTCACCTGGGTTTCACCACATCGTGCACAATTTCACCTGGGTGAAATTGTGCACTACAGATTAGTAAGTAAACACAACTAAGCCTGCATACCTTGCTTACTGTATACCATGCTTAGGGGTTAATTTGCCCCTGTATATTATCCTATCACTAACAGCGTTGTACTTCAGGATAGATCTTGAAATGTTCTTTTTGACAGATGAATGCAACACCATTCCTCTTCAATTTGTCATTCCCGGCACAGTAGACCATATGGCCGTCCGATTCAACAAGGCCAGTACTCATCCATTTCAGCTCACTAATGCCTAGGATATCAATGTTTATGCGTTCCATTTCATGCTTGATGACTTCCAGTTTTCCCAGATTGATACTTCATACATTCTACATTTCAATTATTAATGGGTGCTTGCAGCTGTTTCTTCTCATTTTGAGTCGTGCCACATCAGCAAATGTAGGGCCTGAAAGCTTGACTCCATCCACATCATTCAGGCCGACTCTGCTTTGAGGAGGCAGTTCTTCCCCAGTGATATTTTGAGTACCTTCCAACCTGAAGGGCTCATTTTCCAGCACTGTATCAGACCATGTTCTGCTGCTGTTCATAAGGTTTTCATTGGCTAATTTTCAGAAATAGATCGCCAGCACTTTCTTCCTAGTCTGTCTTAGTCTGGAAGCTCTGCTGAAACCTGTCTACTATGGGTGACCCTGCTGGTATTTGAAATACAGGTGGCATAGCTTCCAGCATCACAGCAACACACAAGCCACCACAGGATGACAAACTGAATGATGACTGGTGGTTTACATACATGATCTGATTTAATCCTCATAAAATCCTATCAAGTAGATACAATTATTATTCCTATATCGCAGATGAAGAACTCGAGGCCCAGAAAGTTTTCCTTATAGGTCCAAGGGTACACAGTTATTAAATGGCAAAGTCCAGATATTGCTCTGGACAAATAAATGAAACTATTTGGGACATTCATCTCCCCGAAAAAGAAAAATAGAAGCGATTGGGATGGAGAGTTAAAAGACTTGCGTTCTAGACGTGTATGACCTTGGGTAAGTAACTCCAGTTCTGTTTTATCCTCTATAAATCAGAATTACAGTTATGGGTCTTTCCAGGATTTACATTGTATGCCTTTTCCTGAAATCTGTGCAATTATTTGTGATTACTTGTAATTGGGATT